GCTGCTCCTCCACATCGAGAGGAGTCAGCTGAGGTGGCTTGGGCATTTACATCGCATGACCCCTGGACGCCTCCCTCAGGAGGTTCTCGGGTCCTGTCCCTCTGGGAGGAAACCTAGGGGAAGACCTAGGACACGCTGGAGCGACTATGTCGCTCGGCTGGCCTGGGAGCGCCTTGGGGTCCCCCCAGAAGAGCTGGAGAAAGTGTCAAGGGAGAGGGAAGTCTGGGTATCCCTGCTCAGACTGTTGCCCCCGCGACCCAGTCCCGGATAAGCAGTTGACGATGGATGGATGGTTGGATCATTGTAAAGTCATATCACTCTAATACAATTTTTGTCTGTTTTTCTGTTGTCGTCATTCTGCACAGCTGTTAGACGTGTTCCAGTACACAAACTTTGACAAGAACAGGAGCTTCATCTTGTCCACCCAGGATCAGCTGGTGGGGGGATTTGCAAAATGGCCCGACAGCCATCCAGGTAAATGACATTGTTTGCAGGCTTTGAAGTAAAAGTAGTAATAAAAAGCTAACTACCAGAAAGACAGAGACTTCAAAGGGCTTCCATTAGGCAAACAAAGAAGCTGAAACTAAGTAGTAACAGCTTCTTTGTCTCTCTGAAAAGACGAGTCTTAATCCTGCCCTCCACAGGTGAACAGAGGTCAGGGTGAAGACGTGGTTGGCCTTCTGGTTTGAATGGAAAAGCTGTTGTAACCCTAACTCTGTGTGTGTGCCTGTTTTCTTGCTAGTGGGATGGGTAATTGATGACATGACTGTGCAACAGTCACCTAAATACACGGGTGATGGAGGCACTCACATTACAGAGACATTGCAGCACAAAACAATGAGGCAGAGCAGACTGTGTCTGACAGTCATTTTCTACAGTACAAAACAAAAGCAATACAGGGAATACAAGGAGCGAATGAACGCAGATACTGCAACCTCAAGGTACTACGGCAGCCTTGTCACAGGCAGATACTAACAGGAAACTAGTGGAAGAAGACAGAGGGAAAACAATAGAAGAGAACAAAAGACAACAAATACCAAAAATAGCCCAATATCTTTTTACAAAAACTGGAGAGAAATCCAATTCAGTGCATTCAACATTTCTAAAATAATGGGTCATGTTTATGGCTTAAGAACTCGAACAGGTAAACTTGCACTTAAATGTGAAACCACAAGTATTTTTTGACTTTGCCGTTGGTTTGAAACGTGTTGTTTTCTTCGTCAGTGTCAGAGGTGGGTAGAGTAGCCAAAAATTGTACTGTTACTTCAGAATAATATTACTCAAGTGGAAGTAAAATGTAGTCATCCAAATAATTACTTGAGTAAGAGTAAAAAAGTACATGGTGAAAAAACTACTGAGTAACTGTTGAGTAACATTTATTTTTTAGATTTATTTTTTTTAACGTGCATTCAATCAGATAAACAAAATTACAGAGGAGAGTTTATCCCATCAACAAAATAATAAAAATAAATAAATTAATCTTTAGGTAAGTTAAAGTACTTCAATAAAAAAATCAATGAAATAAATAGAGTACATAAAGAATTAAATATTTACGAAATAACTTAAATTACAGCACAAGTAACAAAAACTTCCAAACCTCTGGACCCTCTGTGGATAAAAACAAGTCTTTGAGGCTACAAGCAGATCGAGCTCAGCACAGAGTACTCATGTAACAGGGACAAAACTAACAGGACAAACATTCGCCTATCCACAGCAAAAAGGGAAAAAAAAAAGAATTGTAGGTCAAACTTATCGCAATATGTTTCCTCAGGTTGGACGATGAGCTTTTGAAAGCTGAAATATCCATCTGTTTGGGCCGACACAGAAGACACCGCATGACAAAACTGCTGTTTGTAACGTAAACATACTTTAAATATGAGGCCAGGGGTGTGCCTACTTGTCTTTGTCAGCATTGCTGACTGTTGATTCTGCCATTTTTTTGCTGTGGTGGATATTGACCACTAAACTAATCCGTTCCGCGGCCGAGATCGAGTATGGTCACGTAACGAGACTGCGCAGCAAGGGCTACATTTTATTGGTTACAGTTGCGCAGTAGAGCCTTGGGTGGAAAATAAGTAGAGATACTGGATCATGGATCTGTAGAAAATAGAGAATATAGCTAAAGCTTTATCCAGTATCTCTGTAACGAGTAACAAGCTCAGTATAGCCTAATGTAGCGGAGTAAGAGTACTGTTTTTTCTTCATAAATCTGCTCCAGTAAAAGTAAAAATTATAGTGATTTAAAACTACTCCTAGAAGTATTTTATTTTGAAAAACCTACTCAAGTAAATGTAACGGAGTAAGTGTAATTTGTTACTACCCACCTCTGGTCATTGTGTACATTATATGTGGTGGTTTAGTGGACACATTTTTCTGTTATCATTTGTGCCAAACTAATTTTTGTGCTTTAATATCTGATCAGCCAATATGAAAAGTTATGTACTGTGTTTTCTGTAGTAACTGTTGTCAGTTACTACAGAAAACACAGTGTTAAATACTGTATCAAATTTGATACAGCAGGTATTTAAGGTCATGTAACTCTAAAGCTAATTGTCATTTTATTGTATTTCATCCATTATATATAACTTTCTATTTTTAAATTACATAATTTGGTACATTTAGAATAAAACAATAGATATGTAACTTGCTGTGTCGTATTATATTAATATCTTATTATATATATTATAATGTATATTATATATATAATATATATATTATACAGTGGGAACATCTTTAACTCTGCCACCTCCAGCTCTGCCTCCTGTCTTCTGCCTATTGCTACTGTCTCTAAACCATACATCATGGCTGGTCTCACAACCGTCCTGTAAACCTTTCCCTTCACCTTGTATATATACACACGTGGACAAAATTGTTGGTACCCCTCAGTTAAAGAAGGGAAAACCCACAATTCTCACTGAAATCACTTGAAACTTACAAAAGTAACAATAAATAAAAATTTATTGAAAATTAAATAATCAAAATTAGCCATTACTTTTGAATTGTTGATTAACATAATTATTTAAAAAACCAAACTAATGAAATAGGGCTGGACAAAATTGATGGTACCCATAACTTAATATTTTGTTGCACAACCTTTTGAGGCAATCACTGCAATTAAACGATTTCTGTATTTGTCAATGAGCATTCTGCAGCTGTCAACAGGTATTTTGGCCCACTCCTCATGAGCAAACTGCTCCAGTTGTCTCAGGTTTGATGGGTGTCTTCTCCAAATGGCATGTTTCAGCTCCTTCCACAGATGTTCAATGGGATTCAGATCTGGGCTCATGGAAGGCCACTTTAGAATAGTCCAACGCTTTTCTCTCAGCCATTCTTGGGTGTTTTTGGCTGTGTGTTTTGGATCGTTGTCCTGTTGGAAGACCCATGACCTGCGACTGAGACCAAGCTTTCTGACACTAGGCAGCACATTTCTCTCCAGAATGCCTTGATAGTCTTCAGATTTCATTTTACCTTGCACACATTCAAGACACCCTGTGCCAGATGCAGCAAAACAGCCCCAAAACATTCCTGAGCCTCCTCCATGTTTCACCGTAGGGACAGTGTTCTTTTCTTCGTATGCTTGGTTTTTGAGTCTATGAACATAGAGTTGATGTGCCTTACCAAAAAGCTCCAGTTTGGTCTCATCTGTCCAAAGGACATCCTCCCAGAAGCTTTGTGGCTTGTCAACATGCATTTTTGCAAATTCCAGTCTCGCTTTTTTATGATTTTTTTTCAGCAGTGGTGTCCTCCTTGGTCGTCTCCCATGAAGTCCACTTTGGCTCAAACAACGACGAATGGTGCGATCTGACACTGATGTACCTTGGCCTTGGAGTTCACCTTTAATTTCTTTGGAGGTTGTTCTGGGCTCTTTGGATACAATTCGAACGATCCGTCTCTTCAATTTGTCATCAATTTTCCTCTTGCGGCCACGTCCAGGGAGGTTGGCTACTGTCCCATGGGTCTTGAACTTCTGAATAATATGAGGCACTGTTGTCACAGGAACTTCAAGCTGTTTAGAGATGGTCTTATAGCCTTTACCTTTAAGATGTTTGTCTATAATTTTTTTTCGTATGTCCTGGGACAATTCTCTCCTTCGCTTTCTGTTGTCCATGTTCAGTGTGGTACACACCTTTTCACCAAACAGCAGAGTGACTACTTGTCTACCTTTAAATAGGCAGACTGACTGATTATGAGTTTGGAAACACCTGTGATGTCAATTGAAGGACACACCTGAGTTAATCATGTCACTCTGGTCAAATAGTTTTCAATCTTTTATAGAGGTACCATCATTTTTGTCCAGGCCTGTTTCATTAGTTTGTTTTTTTAAATAATTATGTTAATCAACAATTCAAAAGTGATGGCTGATTTTGATTAATTTTTTAATTTTCAATAATTTTTTATTTATTGTTACTTTTGTAAGTTTCAAGTGATTTCAGTGAGAATTGTGGGTTTTCCCTTCTTTAACTGAGGGGTACCAACAATTTTGTCCACGTGTGTAATAGCTTGGATTAAAATCATTAGAGAAACTGAAGAATCTCATAAAATAAAATGGTATTAAAAACAACTTGATGATATAACTTGGTTTCATTCCTTTAGGAGAAAGCTGAACAAGCCAACCATTCATTCTCTAAAGGGTTTGTGATGTACCATAAACACACTGACTACTTTACTCCTATGTACTGCACTGGTGCTGTCATACATTATTCAGGTGAACAAGGTATACTGTATACTCTGGTTTCTCTGCTCGTGCTGAAAATCTATACACTGTAGGTGAAGCAGGCCTTCACACTGTACAGACATGACATGTTGACTGCCTGGAAATGACATTCACTTTAATCAGTGCGATGTGGTTCAGGTAATTATCACAGGAGTGCTGAGGTACAACATGACACACACATCATGCTCAACCTTGCATTAAATTAATAAGCCTGGACCAGGACCATGTTCCACAGAGCTGT